GCACTACGGGACAATTTAGCACGGCCAATCCACCCTAACCCGCACATTCCCCGGGCACTATGGGACAATTTAGCACGGCCAATCTACCCTAACCTGCACATCTTTGGACTGTGGAAGGAACCCAGAGCAAACACACAGACGTGGGGAGAATGCAAACTTCATGCAAGCAGTCACCCGAGGGTAGAATCTAACCCGGGTCCCTGGCGCCGTGAGGCAACGGTGCTAACCACTGAGCCACCTTCCTGCCATAAAATCAGAAACGAAAGCAGAAATTGCTGGAGAAATGCGGCAGGTCTGGCAGCATCTGTGGAGAGAGAAACTCAAGATAAAGTTTTGTGTTCAGTGTGCAGTGTACCAGCTGCCTCCTTTATACTCCAGTCCGCTGGATATATAGGCCAACATTCCAGTCACAAAAACAGACAGCGCAGGAGAAACTCAGTAGGGGGAGAGAGAGAGAAGCGGAGTTGTCGTTTTAAGTCTGCTGTTAACCTTCTTCACAACAGACCTGCTGAGTTTCTCCAGCAAGTTTTTTTTTTGTTGTTTCCGATCTCTTGAACCCTGAGGTCATAGTCCTACAGCATGGAAACAGACCCTTCAGTTTATCTCGTCCATGCTGACCCAGATATCCCAAATCAATCTCGTTCCATTGGCCATCATTTGGCCCATATCCCTCAACCTTTCCCATCCATGTACCCATCCAGATGCCTTTTAAATGTTGTAATTGTACCCGCCTCCACCACTTCCTCTGGCAGTTCCATTCACGCACCACCCTCTGCGTGAAAAAGTTACCCCTCAGGTCCCTTTCCCCCTCTCACCTTAAACCTATGCCCCTCTAGTTTTGGACTCCCCTACCCTGGGGGAAAAGACTATTCACCCCATCCATGCCCCCTCACGACTTTATAAACCTCTATAAGGTCAGCCTCCGACGGTCCAGGGAAAATAGCCCCAGCCTATTCAGCCCCTCCCTCCAACATTCTTGTCAACCTTTTCTGAACCGTCTTTTGTTTCATGTTGAAGTGAGAGGTTGGTTCTGTTGTAAATGGCCGGGTTTTTATTGACCTGCAGTCGGAGGGTGAATGAGACCGTGCGGAAGGGCTGGAGGGAGAGGGCAGCCTGCACATGCTTGGAGGGTTTCTGTCGCTCACTGCTTCTTGGGTTTGGGCGCGGGGCCTGGGTTCAGTTCGTCGCTCTGCTGCCCATAAGCGCGACTGTCGCTGTCCTTTGCTGGCGGCTGAGCAGTCTTCTGGCGGTCAGCTCTGGGCTCCTTGCTGTTGGAAAGGTGGCCCGGCCTCTGCACAATGGAGGAGCTGGTCGACAGGGGCGTGGGTTTGTTTCCGGTGGAGCTGGGCTGTCCCCTGGGAGCGGCTGCCACCAGGCCTTCCCTGTCCCCCGGCCTCCCAACGGTGGCGTCTCCAGCAGGCCTGGGGGCCTGTGCCGGGCCGCGTCGGTAGTCGTCCAGTTGCTGCTTCCTTGGTGAGGCCTTGGGCCTGGGCGCTTTGGCTTTGCGGTCCCCAGCGGCCCTGGATAACGTGGTAGCCATCGCCGCCATTGGCTCCCTGCCGGGGGCCTGGCCCCCCCGACTCAGCTCCAGGACCCGGGCCTCCAGCCTCCGGTATTTGGTGCGGTAGTAGTTGATGAGGATTTGGCGGGTGTCATCATCGATGGTCGGTGTCTCCAGGTTCTCCAGCAGGATCTCGAACGGCAGGGTCTCCGGTGTCCTGTGCCTCTCACGCCCGGGCTCCGGGGGGTCGAGATATTTGGCGAAGGTGCACGTGTCCTCCATGATGCCCAGGAAGTCGCCGAAGGTGACCTCGTTTCCCCTGTTGACAGCCGCCATCTTCCTGTCGTCGGGGATGAAGGGGTTGTCCAGCCCCAGCTTCAGGCGGCCCATGGTGCTGAGCAGGGTGCCCTGGTCCACGTTGCCCCTCTCGTTCCTGTCTAACAGCTCAAAGGCCTCCCTGAAGGCCTGGGTTTGCTCGGCCGTGAGGGGCTGGTCCCTGTACTCGTCATCCGGCTCGAGGATGTCCAGGTAGTGGATGAGATTGAACACGGAGACGCCCAGGAAACTCTGGGCCATGCGGTCACCGACCTCACCCCCCTTCTTGGACCTCAGCCTGGCCCCTTTCTTCTTGCGGTAGTAGTAGTTGATGAGGGTAGTGGTGGCCCCCTCTGACAGCGACTGGGACTGCAGCAGGGTGCTGAGCACCTGGAAGAACACCCGGTCATCCAGGAAGCCCTTCTGCATCTTGGAGTCGATGCAGGAGTCCGGCAGACCGGCCGTGAAGCAGACAAAGAGGCTGTCATCAGCCATCGCTTTCAGGAAGTCCTCGAAGGTGACCTGCTGGTCCTCGTTCGCGTCCAGCTTTTGGAAGGCCTGGGCGACCGCCTCCTCGCTCAGCCTGAAGTTCAAGCGCTGCAGGATGCTTTGGAAGGCTCGGATGTCAAACTCTCCCTCTGCCATGTCGCTGAGGACTGTGAAAACTTGGCGCAGTGCGTCCACCATGTCTTTCGCTGCCTGAGCCCTTTGTTGCTCAACTGACGGTTTCCAACAGTCTTTCACTGGCTGCCCTTTCGGTGTCCCCTACAAACACCGAAACAGAGGAGATTAGAGCAGGAGTAGGCTATTCAGCCCCTCAGGCCTTTAGGCACAAGGGCTATATCTACCTCTTTCTTGAAAACATTCAGTGTTTTGGCTTCAACCACTCTTCTGTGGCAGAGAACTCCACAGGTTCCCCACCCTCTGGGTGATGACATTTCTCCTCCGCTCAGTTCCAAAAGGTTTACCCTATATCCTTAGACTATGAGCCACTGGTTCTGGACTCCCCTGTCATCGTGAACATTCTTCCTGTGTTTACCCTGTCTAGTCCTGTTAAAATTTAATAGGTTTCTGCACGACCCCCCCCTCTCCTAGGAATATAATCTTAACAAATCTAGTTTGTCTTCATATGTCAAACTAAGGTGGTGGCCATGGGCGCTCGTATGGGTCCAAGCTATGCCTGCCTCTTCACAGGATACGTGGAACAGTCCCTTTTCCACTGTTATCCTTGCACCACCCCCCACCTCTTCCTCTGCTACATCAATGACTGTATGGGCACTGCCTCGTGCTCCCACCAGGAGTTTGAACAGTTCGTCAACTTTACTAACAGCTTCCACCCCAACTTCATATTCACCTGGAGACCTGATACCTCCATCCCCTTCCTGGACCTCTCCGTCTCCATCTCTGGTGACCACCTCAGCACCAACATCTATTTCAAGTCCACCGACTCCCACAGCTACCTGGACTACGCCTCCTCTCACCCACCCTCCTGCAAGAATGCGATCCCTTACTCCCAATTCCTCCGCATCAGCTCCCAGATGGAGCATTCCACTCCCGGACATCCCAGATGTCCTCCTATTTCAAGGACTGCAATTTACCCCCTGTCCGGTGATCAAGAATGCCCTCAACCACATCTCTTGTATTTCTCGCACTTCTGGCCTGAAACCCCCTCCCCCCAACAAAAATAAAGACAGAATCCCCCTTGTCCTCACATATCACCCCACCAACCTCCGCATCCAACGTATCATTTTCCGCCACCTACAATCCGACCCCAAGACCAAAGATCTATTTCCCTCCCCACCCATCTCTCCCTTTCGTAGGGACAGCTCTCTCTGCGACTCCCTCGTCCGTTCCACTCTCCCCAGTAGCCCCACCACCCCGGCACCTTTCCCTGCAAACGCAGGAAGTGCTACAAATGCACCTACACCTCCCTCCCCACTTCACCTCAAGGCCCAAAGCCAACCTTTCGTATCAGACAGGGGTTCACCTGCACATCCTCCAACCTGGTCTACTGTATCTGCTGCTTCCAATGTGGCCTCCTCTACGTCAGTGAGACCAAGCGCAGACTCGGGGACTGTTTCGTAGAGCATCTGTATGTGACAAACAACAACACCTTCCGCTCACGAGCCATTTTAACTCCCCCCTCCCCCTCCCTGGGTGACATGTCCATCCTGGGCCTCCTCCAGTGTCACAATGACACCACCCGCAAACTGGAGGAGCAGCATCTCATATTCCTCCTCGGCAGCCTACAGCCCAAACATGGATTTCACTAGTTTTAAAATCTCCCCACCCCTGGCCTCATCCCATGACAAACTTTCCTTCTCATCCCCACCTCCTTATCCTGACACAACCTGTCCATCTTCTCTCTCACCTATCCACCCCTCCCACCTCACTGACCAGTCCCCACCACTCCCTACCTGCATCCAACCTATCACCACCCCACCTACCTTCCCCAGCCCAACCCTCCTCTCTATTTATTTCTCAGCTCCCTTCCTCCTCCCCATTTCTGAAAAAGGGTCTTGACCCAAAACGTCAACTTTCCTGTTCTCTGATGCTGCCTGACCTGCTGTGTTACTCCAGCTCCACACTATGTTGTCTCTGACTCTAGCATCTGCTGTTCTTGCTATCTCCAACATTCTCGTAAATCTTTTCTGAACCCTTTCAAGTTTCACAACATCCTTCCTACAGCAGGGAGACCAGAATTGCACACAGTATTCCAAAAGTGGTCTAATCAATGTCCCGTACAGCCGCAACATGACCCTCCCAATTCCTATGCTCAATGCACTGACCAATAAAGGCAAGCGTACCAAAAACCACCTTCACTGCCCTGTCTACCTGTGACTCCACTTTCAAGGAACTATGAGCCTGCACCCCAAGGCCCCTTTGTTCAGCAACACTCCCCAGGACCTTCCCATGAAGTGTATAAGTCCTGCCCTGATTTGCCTTTCCAAAATGCAGCATCTCACATTTATCTAAATTAAACTCCATCTGCCCCTCCTCGGCCCAGTGGCCCATCTGATCGAGATCCCGTTGTACTCCGAGGTAACCTTCTTCGCTGTCCACTACACCTCCAATTTTGGTGTCATCTGCAAACTTACTAACCATACTTTCTGTATTCACATTCCAAATCATTTATATAAATGGCAAAAAGCAGTGGACCCAGCACCGAACCTTGTGTCACAGGCCTCCGGTCCAAAAAACAACCCTCCACCACCACCCTGTGGTCTGGTCTATCCTTTTCCATGACTTTTTTTTTTAAACTAATACAATTAGGGTCACTGGCCCCAAAGTGCCCACCCACTCGGCCTTATTTCCCTAGAGTAGGTCAAGGTTTGCACCTTCTCTAGTAGGTACATCCACCTACTGTATCAGAAAAGTTTCTTGTACACACTTAACAAATTCCTCTCCATCCAAGCCCTTGACACTATGGCAGTCCCAGTCTACGTGTGGAAAGTTAAAATCCCCTACCATAACCACCCCATTATTCTTACATATAACAGACATCTCCTTACAAGTTTGTTTCTCAGTTTCCCGCTGACTATTGGGGGGGGGTCAATAGTACAATCTCAATAAGGTGATCATCCCTTTCTTATTTCTCAGTTCCACCCAAATAACTTCGTTGGACGTACTCCCAGCCGTAATGTTATCCCTAATCAAAAATACCACTCCCCCTCCTGTCTTGCCGCCCCCCCACCCCAACTTTCTATCCTTCCTGTAGCATCTGTACCCTGGAACACTAAGTTGCCAGTCCTAACCATCTCTGAGCCATGTCTCTGTAACTGCTATGATATCTCAGTCCCATGCTCTCGACTATGCCCCAAGTTCATCTGCCTTACCTGTTAGGCCTCTTGCACTGAAATAAGTGCAGTTTAATTCATCAGTCCTACCTCGTTCTCTGCTTTGTTCCTGCCTGGCCTGACTGTTTGAGTTACTCCTTTTCCTAACGGTATCAGCCTCAGGCTGATCTCTGTCCTCAGGAGGTTTATCTGCTCTTCTAACTAGAGTGTCCCCTATCGCAATTGATCACTTGGAACCTTGTCTTGGTACCAGAAACCTGGCTGTCAGTGCTACATTCCCCTGAGAGTCCATCACCACCTATATTTTCCAAAACAGCACACTTGTTTGAGATGGGGATAGCCAAGGGAGACTCCTGCATTACCCTCTCCTACCTTTCCTGGATGTAACCTATCCACCTGACTGTACCTTCAGTTTATCTCCCTGCAACTGCCAATCATCACACCCCCCAGCTCCTGTAAATTCCTCATTGCATCTAACTGCCACTCCAAACGATCTGATAGGATTTGCAACCACACACCCTTCCTGCAGACATAACCGTCAGTAACATGGAAACTCTCCCTATTCTCCCACATCTGACAGGAGGAGCACATCACTCTACCAAAGGCTGTTTTTGCACCTTAACCATCTATAGACCCAGAAAATAGCACAGTCTTACTGCTCTAAAAACACTGTTCCAGGCTAACTTCTTAGCTATGTTTTATATTTTTAAAGTTTAATCAAGAGATAGATCTCAATAAAAACATATAATCAAAAAGAACCCACTCTACTCACTATTGTAAATTTACAAAAAAGACAGTAAGGCTACACTTAAAAACTAACCACTTAGCTGCTCCCCTACTGTGACCTCCCCTACACAGGTTTCTCCAAGGTCAGCTGTGAATTTGGCTGTTTGTTAATTTTTCTTAGATGAAACCCAATGTCCAGGATACTTGAAACCAAACTAGTGTCTTTTTGCCTCTTGGTATTTCTCTATTCTACCCCAGCAGATTCGATATGGTCTGAGCTGATATCTTTGCTTAATATTGTGTTTGTATCCTCCTTAACCAGTAATGTAACTCCCCCACCTTTTACTTTTTGTCCGTCCTTCCTAAATACCCTTGGACATACAGTTCCCATTCCTGGTCACCTTGCAGCCATGTCTCTATAATCCCAACTGTATCAATTTGCCTGATGAATTCATCCACTTTATTTTGAATAATCTGTGCATTAAGCCTTTTTTTTAAACATTCCTTGTCCCTTCCCCACATTTCTTTTACTGTGGCCTTGTTTGGCTCTGGCTTTTGATTTCTCTGCCTATCCCTTACCTCCTTGGCATCTCCCACTGAGTCTTTAGGAATTTTCTCTTCTGGTGTCCTCGCAGCCTCTTCTGTTGTTTCAGGCAAGTGATGGCTGATCACTTCATCAACCCCTGACTCGGTCACTTCATCACCCCGGAGGACAATCACTGCAGCTCCCTCCAGCTCCGTTGCTTCATCTGGCTGGAGGATAATTACTGCCGCTCCCTGGAAGCTGG